TCCTCATGTGAGTTGAGTACATCAAGAGATCGGTCAACGAGATTCTGACGAAGTTTAGCCCTCTGCTCATCGAGCTGGTCTAGGGCCACAGGTTCTGTCGAATTTCCAATGGCCATGCGCTTCTGATATGCCAATGCGTCTTGCGGCGCGGTAGTGGATTGGCTGGGCTGTTCAGCAGGTACAGGTGTCGCAGACGTAGGGGCTTCAGATTCTGTGGCGACCGAAGCATCCGCATCTTCCATTTGAACCGACTGGGTCTCTGGCTCTTCGGGCTCATCCTCGTCGCGGGTGATCTCGCTCGATGTCATGCTGGCATCATCAGTATGTTCTGGCACCACAACTTCGGCCCGGCTGGGAGATGAAGATGGTGGACCTCGTGCTTGAATCTCATACTGGGGTATCGGGTTTCTCGAGACGTTGAGACGAGATTGATTCCGGCAATATTCATTAGCCATGTTGTAGTTGTCACAGCAGCGATATAGCGCCTCTTCAGCAAGGCTTTCCTCATAGCCATTCTCTTTCAAACGCAGCAAGTGTTCTCCGTTTCGGGCGGACCATGGCTTGATGATAGGCTTACTACGCTTTGGAATCTTGTCGATGCTCTTGTAAGCTCCGTGCTCGCCATCGCATTCAAGAACAGACTTGAGGATGTTAACCGATGTCTTTACGATGGAACTTGTGGCCTTGTCGATGAGATTCGAGTTCCAAATCTTCTCCACAGGCTTGATCACAGCAAAACGCAATTCTACGAGGAACTGTGCAGTCAGGAAGTAATCCGATCGCTCCCTATCGCGATCTGGTCTGGTTTGCATCGATGAGGTTTGCGGCGATTCTCCAATAACCTTGTAGTTGATGATTTGAGAGAAAAAGGCAAGGATAATCTTGATACCGCCAAGCGAAAGATTAAGCAAGCGCTTCATCTCTTCACTAGTATCCTCGCTCTGCTTTTGTGTAATCTCAAGGGCTGATTCATAAAATTGATTGAGAATGTTGGCCAGAACATCGAATCCACCAAGATTGCGGAATGACACGAGCAGCAAAGTCAACGCTTGCGGCCGGTCTAGGTTCGGCTCGATGATGAGTTGCGATAAAGATGTGAGTATGACGATCCAGTATGCATATCGATCTTCAATGTTGTCTGATTCCTTTGGACCCTCATACTCAAGCTGATCGATGACTGCTTGAGCAAGCTGGTCTGCGACGACCGTGGCACATTGCCTCTGGTATGCCTCCAGACTGCGGCGGAACAAGAGAAGTTTGCCCAGGGATTGGAAGAAAGGCGCAATTTCTGTGGGTATCTTGCTAAGTAAATTTCGAAGAGTTTGCGTATTCTTGAATCGTGCACTGTTGTGGCTCAAAGTGGGATTCTCGGTAGTGGCTCCAGCAGCAGCAGAGGCAGTCTCTGTATTACCAGGCGATTCGGTTGCGCTGTTACCAATGCGGAAAACATGGTCGGCTTCATCGTTACCAAAGCCAGAGCTAGCGACACGAGTTTCTTTCTCCCACTCGGTAGGCATATTGCGTTGAAGGAGAAGCTCTTCCCAAACACAGCTACGATGAAGTTTTCCAAGACTATCAACTAAGCGTGCGTACATATCGGCGAGGTTGACCTGACTTGACACGTTGTGGGCCGAACGCGTACTGTACATCTGGCTCTGGAAGGTCAGAGTCATGGCCCCGACAAGGGTATGCGCCGATACCAGTGCTTTGACGTATTGTGTGCCTCGCTGTAGGTGCTCATTATCCTGGGAGTTGCTTGAGCTTGTGAATGGCGCAAAGAATGCCTGCTTGCCGGTGTGATCAAGAAGAGGCTGTAAGCGTTCCAGGGCCTGTTGTGTGCGCCTGATCAGGGAAGGAACGGCGATGTGCGGCTTCTGTTCGACGAGGACCTGGACAACGTGGCCAAACTGCTCACACATGCTGCGATTTTCACTCGACTTCGGGTCCAAACAGGCAAGGTTAGAGATGTCAAGAATAGAATCGACACCGGCAAGTTCGATATAAGCAGCGCACATGGCATGATTCGAGAAGAAGCCAGACAGAAACCTGCAAAGCACTCGGATGTACTGGCCTGTTGTGGGACCTTTGGAGCTGTCCTCGGTCTCAGTAACTTGATCAAAGGCAACCACTTCATTAGGTGTTTCGTTGACATCTTTCATCTCGACATCGGTACCAGTCGAGCCAGAGGTTCGCTGCGGTCCTGTGCCAGATAGACCTTGGCGGCCGCCGGCTACAAGGAGCTTCCCGTTGGCGTCTTCAGTCCATAGTTTGGCACCTACGCCCTCTTTCTCAGCTTTGCTGGCGCACAGTTGGACAACACAAGTAATCAACTCGCTGAGACACGACAAGACTCGACCCTTCAATGGCGGATGATGACGTACGAGCTCGTCGAAAGAGTTACCAATCATGGTAGGCATCTCTGCGTCAGCATCGAGTGCCTTAACGTGGGCAGGGCTTTCAAAAATCTCGAAGAACCGCTCAAGGGCAGTCGAAGATTGAAAGAGCTTCATACCAGCTTCTGCCAGGCAAATAGCGTCAAAGGCTTGTGGAAGAGTCGAGATGGCTTCAGCAACAGGCAAGATACCCTTTGCAAGCGGCTTTTCAGCTTCCCGTGGAGGATGAGGTGTCGGGTTTGCAGTATTTTCATTGGCATTTGCCGCAGCTGTTGATTCCGAAGCGGGCTCTCCAGCCACAGTCTCCAGAAACGCCTCACTGAGACCTGCTTCGGCTATGACCTGGTAACTGGTGGGCTCATTGTGAATGAAATTAGCGAGAATGGTAACAGCCATGCTCCAAACCGTTGAGCCGAAAATCTTTGCATTCGACAGCACAGTGCGTAGGCTACTCAGCAGCTGCGGTGAGTCAATCAAATTCCGCATCAAGCGATCGAAGTTACCGCCTGTATGTGTCATCATATGGTTAAGGAACTTGAACAACCATCGTAGACTCTGTTGATGATAGAAGGGAATTTGATAATCAGTAAGCTGTGTCTTGTACTCCTTGGGCATGCCCTTGTTTTCCTCAGCAAGCTTCTTGGAGACATCGACTTCGTATTGCATGAGATCAGCAATGATTTCCAGTCCCTTTGCAGCCACAAGAGCAGAGAAGGCGTCGCGCAAATTGTACACAAACGTGTCAAGGAAGTTTAGAATCTTGGGGTGGTTACGCTCAGCCTTTGCTGTGCGAAGCTTGAGAACATCGACGAGAATTTCCAAAAGCCCTGCGGCTACCATCTGCTCACCAGTGCGTGTTTGAGAGGTGGGTAGAGTGTTCAAAAGAGAAAAGAGGGCATCGCGCCACGCATCCTCCTCTAGGTCGTCGGGGTCACCAGTTTCCTCGCCAAGCCCAGCGACGAGCTTGCGAACGACATAGAAGAGCACACCGTGGTTGACATTAACATTGAGGGCAGCGCATATGTCAGCAGCTTTCGACTTGTGTTTTGCAAGAGCCTCAAGAGCATTCATGGTAAAGGTTTGAAGCTCAAGCGAGAGGCCACCCTGGCCATTGCTCGGTGGGTGGACTAGTTCGGAGAGCTGGTGTGCCAGTTGTAGCCTGCGTGGCTCGTCTGCATCCTGCTGGCCCAACTTGGCCATGAATTCTTTCTCGGTGTGGACGTAGCCTATGTTGGCAATGGACAAGAGGCGGATAGCGACTGCGTCATCACGTCCGGCAGCACCATTGTTGAACAATTTGGCAATCCGCAATTTGTGTAGAAATTCATAGTGCACACTTTCGGGTAGGCTCTCGAGCCCTTCTTTAATGAGGTCGTGTATATCGCCTTTGGCAACCTTGTCGACTGAGAGCTCAAATGTCTTGGGCCCATTTGTTCTACTGCCGGGCTGCCCTGGGGTGAAGACTGGAGTATTTGGTGATTCGGCAGGAGCTGCAGGCTGAGGCTGTCGCGGAGTCCGGTTCGGGCCCATACTTGACGTTCTTCGTACTGGTGTTGGTGTGGTGGGGGCAGATGCAGGCGTCTCAGTGGTCGCCGGCTTACTGCTGCCTTCTTCAGTCGCGGGAGTCGGTTCGTAGTACGAGATGAGCACACCACCAAACTCTTGTTTCATCGCAGCATCTGACAAAGAGTACATGCCAACCAGATCGGACGGGCTGACCCTATCAGCGCCGCCTGTGCGTTCTTTCCCTCTGCCCGCCGGCGTGCCAAACACGGGGGCTGGCGCAGTGGGACCCTTTCCGAAGGGACTTGACAGCTTCTGAACTTTGTCCAAGTTGATATTGTAGTGGCTGGAGAGGGCAGACGGGTGCAGCGTGGCAGGTGCGTGGCGCATACGGGCGGCGGCATAGCGTTGGGCCAGGCGATGGCCGAGGCGAAGCGTCGCCTTGAGGAGAGAGGTACTCGTCGTGTTGAGTAGCTTGTCGAGACGCTCGCTGCTGGAATACAGGCTACGATTGCCGCAGTTTTCCAACAGCATGCGGGTGAAATTGAGAATTTGCTCGATCAGCTCACGGTCGCCATCTTGCGAGAGGTGCAGGGTATCGAGAACAGCTTCCGTGGTAGTCTGGTCAGAGGCAGTGCTGCCTTGGTCAGCATCGCCCTTGAGCAGGAGCCGGCGCTGGAACGGCTGTGTCTGGGGGCCGTCAACAAGGCCATATTCCTTGTTGAAGAGGTCGAGGATGTGGTCGAAGCGGTCCAGTGCGGGGATCCAGTGGTATGCATCGCCGCGGGGGAAGGGCCAATGCTTGGGGAACGAGGCCAAGTGTGCAGGCAGCTGGTAGAGCGGTATTGACTCGGTCGCCTTGACGAAATCCGCGATCATGGACGACAGAGTCGACTCATGTCGCGAGGTGGCCTGTTTCTTGATCTTCATGTTTGCGCCGGGCGCTCGGAAGACGAAGCCTCCTCACATGCAAGCTTTCGGCAGGCGGTGTCTGGAAGGCGAGTGGTGGCAAGTGGAGAGGGCGCGACGGGCAGTCCGACTGGATATGCGTGGCGGTAGAAAGGATGGCTGTCGGGAAATCAGTCAATCCGTCCGCCTGTCCGTCTATCGTGCGGCGGGCTGCGAGTGCCTTTGTTGAGCGGGAGCGCAGAAAGGTAGGATAGCTGCGACGAATGAGGAGCGAAAGGCGGGGTCGTGATTCGTGATGTCGGTCGCCTTGGGCAAGCAAGGGCGTGTGGACAGGTCAAGGCAGCGGGCGGGCGGCTGTGGTAGGAAAAGAGGCGTGGGCGGGCAGGCCTGCTGCTGGATACCACGGTGCAGGCGTGGATCTAGTGCAGCGGGAGCAGAAGTCTCTCGGCGGAGGGGATGCGCAAAGACTGCTGGCCAGGCGCCTGGTTGCTGGTGGACAGCGTGGGTGAGAGAGGTGGATAGTGACGGGGGGATGGTGAAGTGCTTCTTGAAGCTTTAGCTACTGGCGGCCGCCAGCAAAGTAATAGTGCCATAGCAGTTTCCGCTCCCTTGTAGCCCGCCCGAGCCCCCCACTGATCCGAGCGTAGAGCATCCCACAGCAACTCCCTGCCCTCCGTCACCGTCTAGAGAGACAGCCATGCTCGTCCGAACCTATAGATGCCCATGGAATATACTTGAAAGGTTTTTGCACCACCAGACACTATCGCCAACGACTACACCTCTCAAGCGACCACAGCTTCATACTACCATCAAAGAACTCCACATCATCACATCAACCTAGCGATGACGACATCCATACATAACACAGAGCTACTATTGCACCATCCATGACTCCATAACCAAAAGGAAAACTACAATATGTATGTATCTCAGTATAGGTCATCTCCAATAGGTGCATGGCAGCACCGCCGACCCAACTGCAACGTCTCCTCCCATCTCTCATCAGGGTGCTCGTGCATGGTACGTAGGTACCACCATCCCGTACCTACCACCTGCGCGTCCCGCTAGCAGACACCTCCCTCCCATCGTCGCCCTCTCCATCAACCAGCCTCATCGTCTCTTCTAGAACCAGCAAGTCTCGTTCAATCATCTCTGCCCAGTTCTGTATATCTCCCACCTCGTTCAGTTTCTTGGTGCCTCCCTGCAACAGCTTGTCCCACTCGGCCCGCTGTTTAGCCAGCGCCGCTGTCTGCTTTGCCAGTTCCTTCTCCTGCTTAGCTATTGCTGCCGAGTTTGCATGCAGGTCCGCTGTTCGCGTGCGCATCTCGTTGTCGACAGACGCGCCTACAGACGCCAAAGATGCTGTAACGGCGGCGCGCGCTTCCGCCTGCCGGCGAGCTGCTTCCTCTGATGACGCGCTTGGGGAAGACATGTTGACAGTTTGTGGGGCAGTCCCCGAGACGGACTGTTGGGCGTTGTTCATATTTGAAGCGATAAACGGACGGTATAGGCTGCTGCTAGCTCAGTGTAAAGTAGTGTATAGTGCCGCCTTGATGCGAGTGGCCGGGTAACAAGCGCAGTCCGTGGTACACATCTCGACAGGAAGCTCGCTACTCTTTGTCCGTCGTATAAACCCCAACATATCTGCAGAGCTAGTAGACACGTGCGACAAGCCTCATACCCTGACACCATCACCCAGCCATTAAGGCGCTATCAGATGCGGGGTAGTGAGTAGCCATTGGCAATGCTAACGTAGGGCAAGACTATGTGAGCCTGTGGTACAGCACCATTAATGCTGATCGCATGTGCTCCAGTCTTCGTCCATCATACAATAGGGCTCGATATAAAGTCGTGGTGGCTGCAAGTACACCATGAAGGTAGAGGCGGAGAGGGGTCAAGAGCAGGGGTTGAGAAACACCAAGGACTTATCGATTAACTACCAGGGTACAAACATCGTGGTCAGTAGACCAATCAGCAACTTTCGTCTCGCACACGACTCACACTCAAGTATTTTCAGACGTAAAGCAATGAATTCGTAAGTTATGAATAGACCAACAGCAGAAGAAGAGAAAAGAAATATGTTCATCAAATGAAAGTGTGACCCAGTCACAGCAGAGTCTCCGACCCATGCAGTCGATCAGCGACAGCAAACCTAGGCCACAATCGCCTTTGCAACACGCTTGACAGTGTTAGCCACAGCCGCTGCGGCGTTTCCAGCCTCACGCTTCGCATTCCTCGCCTTGATCTTGGCCTGAGCAGCCTTGATCTGTTGCACCAAGAACTCCACACCCTCATCGGCCCGGAGACCGTACGTCAAGTGTGCAGGCAACACAGCCAGGGTACCAAGGCAAACAGCATCACCAGGTTGGCAGATAATCTTGACCTTGTCCTTTGGGAAGTCGGGAATTTGGTTGCGGTCCTGGAGCTTTTGTGTGTCGCCGTAAAGCACCACACCAGCAATCTGGTCCTTGACGCCCGCATCAAGCTCTTCGATAGCGCGGTGGTTGACCGCTGCGCCCTGGCTGTAACCCGAAGACACAATGACAGAATCCGGGCACTTTGAAGCCATGGAGGTGAGCGTCGACTTGAGGAGCTCCTTAGATCGGCTATCAGTGCCACCGGGAAGTGCGTTGGTGCCGAGCGCAGCAGCATAAGGGATGCCCTCAGTAGCAACGTTGTCCTTTCCAAATGCCTTCTTCAAGCCATCCGATGTAGGTGGTCCGACAACAGTTCCCTGGTTATGTTAGTAGTGCTAAATTACCATTTGCGTGGGCCTACAAACCATGTTGCCAATTTCCGTTGAGCCACGAGTAAAAGCAAAGAGAACTGGTTTGCAGCCACCTCGACTGAACTCGCTCGCACTGCTACCAGTACCTCCAAAGAGTTGGCGACTTTCAATGGGACCGGCTGCCGCAATGCCAGCAAGGGCAGCAATGAGAATGGATTTGGTGTACATTTTCTCGATTGGAAAAAGTTGGTTAGGACTGAAAGTTGGTTCTTTGAAGTAAGATGAAAGCGAAAGACTGGAGAAATTGAGAAATCAAGAAATGGAGCGAAGGTATGCAAATAGGAGCACCAGCTCTGCTGTGATGGTCAAACTGTTGATGATGCTCAATAGAAGTTGGTGTCCGACCTTCTTATATCTTCAAGGCCTTCGGAGGTGATGCCCAGTTCAATCAACCCATGACGATCTTACGGGACGCAAAGGACATCAGTGCACTTGACCATGCCACCACGACATGTCCTTAGTCACAAAGCACATAGAACAGTACCACACAAGGCACCTGCCGGGCAATCTATTCAACGGCACGATGGACTATTGGCTAACTCTGCATGAACACAGTCTTGGGGAGAAAGCCATGGCCATGCAAAAGCCGGCCAAGAGCTTGCCAAGTGCACGGTAGTGATGGAGGACCTGAGTAAGAATAGAAGTCGGGAATACACGAGTCCTGGGCTGTCGATCCCAGCCCTACGCCACAAGGTTGGTAGCCAGTCACAGAAGTGCAATTACCCGACTACCGAGTACTCAGACCAACGCTCATGCGGCTGGATCATGCTTTTGTCAAACACCCCCCGTAGAACTTGTAACAGGGCCACTGACTTGCTTGATAACAGACATGGTACGTTTTCAGAAAAATTGACATGCCTCGGCACCTCAAAGTCTCTACAGTCCGTCATTGGCTGCAGATGCGTTTGTCGACGGGCTGCCAGTGTAGGAATTTGACAAGACAGGTGGATGTCTGTCTCGGAATGCCCCAAATGACCTCCAAATCCAATGCAAATGTCTTTGTCTGAGGTATCCCATCAGGCAGTCTGTGACCATGGGACGTTACACACAAACCAATTTTTTTCAAAGAGCTGGACAGGTTGTGCAGCATAACCAACGGGTACGAACAAGCTTTTGCATATGAGTATCGTTTGTATAAAGGTGATCGACGTGCTCCCGGGAGCGTCCCGCCAATATGCCGTCCACTATACGGCTAGCGCACAGGGGGGCCACGGGCGCCTTTAGTCGTTTCAGGCCCAGAGCCTGACGCAAGAAGCAACTGACTAGCACCATACCGAAACACTGGCAATGCATACTTTACAGGTTCATCGATGCAGAGTAGATGCAGATAGATGGACTTGAGGGTGGGCTGATCGCTGGCAAGTGCTGCTGTTAACGAAGTCTAGATCACATGACCGGGGAGGATCTCTCGAAAGCGTGATTTCAGTCGCGTTGGAATGGTGCTTTGGGGCCGAATCGAGTCAATCCTATTGCGATCAGTCGAATTGATCTTTAGCATTCTGTTCAGGGCCAAACCACGACATGGACTTGTGTCAATTGGGAAAATCCATCGGCATTCGATCGACCCACCACGAATCGCAGCCCGGACAAACCCGATTTGGAATCCCAAAGCAACCTGCTTCAATCGCATACATACGAAAAAGGAGACTCAAAGACTCATGTGGTAATGATCTCACGACTCGCCTTGCAGCCAATATTCCACCATGCCGACCCCGATGTTCGTTTCGAAACATTAGGTATTTTCGGGGTCCAACAACCGCATGCGCATGTCCCAATTCGGAATAAAAAGTGCCACAGGTGTTTCAATCATGCCGGCTGTTGATCTGTAAACAGGTATCTGCCGTTGTAGGGCAGGCTCAAAATGGGGGTGTCATGTGTCCATCACACGAGTCAAGTTCCCGTTGCACGACACAACCCGATACGAGGAAGGGGGGCTTTGCTTCTCGACCTTTTTTTTTCCTTCCATCCTTAGGCTGCGCTATGAATGTGTGGGAGGGAAAACATTGGTTACATAAGTACTGTGTGCATGGTGCATCCCCTCCTTTCCCCTTTCGCGTCTGGAAACCTCGGCCGGAGTTGTGTGGGGACAGGTGGGTAGAGCAATGCCTTCTGGATGAAGATGGGGGGCTAGGTATAAAGGGTTCCCGAGGCGCTGTTTGAGATGCCGTCCAGATCCCGAGTTTTCTTGGTAGTACAATGCCTTCCTTACCAATACTCTGATATTGATAGTACGTGTGGTTGCTGGCTGACTGATTGATAAAAGAACGGGTGGGTTCCCGACGGGGAAGCAAATGCCGCCATGAGAGGGTGGTTCACCACCCATGCCCCGATGACGGGGCATCTTGTAAGGCCGAGCACAAGACCGCTATGATATTGCATGCATGTACCTCTAGTATATCTGTAGGATTCGAAAAAATTCATCTTGCATAGTCTGTTCAATACTACAATTTTTTTCCCAAAGACACTTTTATCTTCCAGCATACTTTGAATTCGAAACAATACGACCGTACCTTTTATTCTTACCTTTTTTTCTCCAGAAAGAAACATGAACGACCCAATCGCCGATGCAAAAGCACAAGAGGCAACACACAACTATGAATTCCGCGTCGCAACGCCCGACGACATTCCCGCCTTGCAACAAATGATAGGCGATTCTCTCCGCGCCCTGGGCAAAGGATACTACACGCAAGCCGAGCTCGACGGCTCAATAGGCTACCTCTTCGGCCCCGATTCAGTCTTAATCCACGATCAGTAAGTAAGGCGTTCCACTCTGGTCGTCGCATTGCCCGCATTTGCACAATCACGCCCTACAAGCATGCAACGTATAGTATGACAATACTTACACACCCAAAAACTGCCCCTCCTTTTTTTTTACTACAAAGCAAAAGAGCAAAGTAGTAGTAAAATTAAAATTGACCAAAAAAGGTAACGTAAGAAAAAAAAACAGAACATATTACATCCTACACCCCGTCTCGGAACCACACACAATCTGCGCCTGCGGCGGCTGGTCCTTCCGCAAAACACTGTATGGCGGGGACTCTGCGCCCTCTGTACTGCGCATGCCGGCGAAGCGCGATCCAGCCGTGGACCGCGCGAGCATCCGCGCCATCTTCACCTCCCCAGCCTATGCGCGCCGCGGCCTCGGCACAATGATGATGCGGCACTGCGAGCGCGCAGCTTCACAAGGGCAGCCCGGCGAAACGGCCGGGTTCTCGCGCTTGGAAATGGGGGCCACGCTCAGCGGCGTTGCGCTGTATGAGCGCTGCGGCTATGTTAGGAGTGGGCGCGAGGATGTCGTCGCGTGTCCGAATGGCGAGGGGATTCGCATTTTGCACATGACCAAGGATCTGGAGGGTCATGATACGCCGTGAAAGAGAGGGGGGGGTTAGAGAGAATGCGGTTAAAGGTCTGGTTGTGGAGATTTGAGGAAGGAATACTACTGTGTAAGGAAAAGGGTGAATGCAGCGCGCGGTTAGGCGTGCGACCTTGGGACCTTTTTTGCGACCGACCGTTTTTTTTCTTCTCTTCGCGCCCGAGTGATCGAGATAAGCGGGTTTTTTCGGTATTTTCGGTATTCTCGGGCGCCAGCATGCGCGCGCGTGCAAAACGTGCCCTTTTGAGCGCAAACGGTTACTAGACGTTTTTGCTTCTTCCTTCTAAGAACTACTACTAAGTAACTAGATTTCTATCCTTCATCGTTCCTTTCCCTTCCCTTACCCTCTTCCTTCTTGCCCCCCCCTCCCCCCTTTCTTTGCCCTCTTCTTGCTCGTTGTAGCGAAATGACGCAGGGCACTTTGATGCGTTGGCACAAAGGTAATGTTTTGAGTGAGACTTGGGGGGGTGAGGGGGATAACGCAAAAGCGTTAGTGGGGATGATGGGGGCCTCGCGGTAAGGCACCCGATGAGGGAAGAAAAGGTGCAAACCGCATTGTTTGGTGGCGCGCCCGCCCGACGATGCCCGGAATCTTGATTAGAGATGGAATGTCGTGCTTCTTGCGGTTCCAATTGGCTCTCCTCCCCATTCCCCCGTCGTTCAACTGAGGACAAGCACCGAGAGATGGTAAGGATATATTTGTAGGGGGGGCCCTGCATGTTTTCGTCATATTGTTTGGGACTTCACCGTCTTTTTCCCTTCCTTTTCCAGAGATACTTTAAAAGATACTCTTGTGGCTGCTTTTTTCGTGTTTCTGAAGATACCGCTTCCTTTGTCTCTTTTGCTGTGTACGGAAATTCAGTCGTTCAGAGTACAGGCTCTACAAGAGATTCATTCATCAATCATCACCAACATGTCTGACCCAAAAGCCGCCGCGTTATCTACTGCTGTTGTCATCATCACCGTGCCCTCGGGCTAGCACACCAGCTACATGGAAGAGGTTCGGGCAGTTGTATGTGATGGCGAAGATGGTACCGTTTTGCAGGGCGTAGTCCCTCTGGAAGAAGAAGGATCTTGAAGGAGTGAGGTGTAAGACTTCAGCCGCAGTAGCGCCGATGGATCACAACAAACACATCCGGCGCCCATCGGGCAGGGGTCTGTGGGCGTGAAGTACTATCCCGCATTTTATATACTATGGTATTCCGGATAGTAACTTTTGGTACAAGCCACTACCAGTCTTGGGTGTGTGGGGAGCGGAGACTTGAATGGAACATCGACAATATTGGCAAAAGCGTAGTTATCGAGCGTGGTGAAAAGATAAGATCAAATGTCGGTCTAGTTGTGTGGGATTGTTGAAAGACATTGTAAAAGAAAGACGGAGTGCAGGGTTAATGAAAATGAGGGAGGGGGGTTGAGAAGGAATTGTGCGTATACGACAACAGCCATGGCGCGTTGATGGCTTTGAGGAAGAGCGGGAAAGACATCACATGGCCAATCGAAACGCAAAGAGGGCACCTCATTCCTGCTAAGGGGGGAATGTATGGGAAGTTCAAAGTACAAGACCGGACCAAGATCAAAGTCCTCGACTCATTCAAGTTGAAGAAAGGAATTCGCTGCCATCGCCATCAATAGCCTGCTCTGATTCCACAGTCCGGATATCATGATAGAAGCAATTGAATAAAACAAAACGCCTTCTTGCTGAACCGCGAGTCCCTATCATCCCTCCGTCCAACCAGGAAGAGTGATATCAAACGCTGTCATGGTGTTGTGCTGTGAAGCCCATGAGCCGAGAAACTCGATGAGATTGACGATCCCATCGATGAGTTATACCAGGATGTAAAGGGAAGTGCTTTCAGGGTGGAAAGAAGATGATGGTACAATGCGAATGCCTAACGCAAGACGAGGGGGTACACCAACCTTGTTGAAATTCCTGGAGTCCAGTGGATATGGTGCAGAGCATTCGCTCTTGAAAGTCCTATGAAGGGGAAACAAAGCTGGAAACAGGTCAGTTGTTGATAGTTGTCGTGACTAGTGCTCACATTGGTGGGTAGAGACGAACCAATCCGATGCGTAACCAGAACTTTGATCAAGACAAAAGAGAGCCTGCGGATCGTGACTTGGGGGAGTCAAGGGTAAATGCAGATCATAGCAGCAGGTCAACATATTTTGGAAGATCCCCAAATGGTCAGGATTCCAGGAGGGCGTCCATCTCTTTCTCTAGCTCTTTGCTCCAGAGGTACTCATGGTCGGGCTCAATGTCGGGGTCGACAGGGAGGTAGACATCCTCCATAGTCGGGATCTGGCAGACCTGATCCATGGGGTACTGCTCAATGACAGGGAGTTGGCTCCATGTGAGACCTGGAGGACCTGGCTCGCGTGGTAGGGGGAGGAAGCGGCCAACGCCTGTCTTGGCCCTATCGTCACCCTCCCACCTCATCTCAGAGTAGGAAGGCCAGGGCGCAACCTCTTCCTTTCCATTCTGCCAATCCTTGCACCATATCGTCTGCTCTCCAAGGGCACGACCGGAGTTGCCAACTTCGTCAAAGTTGCCGTTGAGGCCGCAACGACGCAAAAAGGCCTGAGTAGCTGGAGAAATGGCTGAAGAATAGTCTCCAGCTTCTTCCTTCGCCTTGGCTTGATGTGTGAGCTTGTTGGCTTCTGATGCAGCCATTGCTTCGCGATGTGCGACATAGTCGCCGAACTTCCACTTGGCTACATCTGAGTTCTTAAATTGACGGCGCATCGAGTTGCGAACTGTGAGAAAGTCTTGGTGCATCTGAGCATCGGGACCCAGTGGTGGGTTGGGGTTGCGGAAACCTGTAGAACCACCTCTCCTGGCGTTCGCAGCGCCTTGTCGGTGATGACTATGAAAGCCACGTCCAGGGGGACCGTGCCTGTTAACGTTGGGATACCTTGGACCACGCGGGACAGGATGGTTGTGGCCCTTTCCACTGCGTTGATGAGAGCGGGGATGTTCATCTGCAATACTCAGCCCCTCCAAGTTGAAACTCCCTGGGCTTCCAGAACCGCTCAGAGTTGCCTTATCATCTAGGTTGGAGTAGTCATCCCAAGCCTCGTTGTCATGAAGGGTATCACCGCTTCCCGTGTACGGCGGTGATGTCACCTGGGGTTTGTTGATATCGAACTGTAAATGCTTTTCGGTTTTGCCTGGCCTCTCGCCCTTGACAGGATTGATAGAGTCTGCCATTGGATAGAAGTTTGCAAGCTTAGACGTCGCTAGGGATACAATTCTCTCAAAGGAACTTTCCAATATCGCCAAACTTTGCACAACTGTTGTTGAACAATGTAAGAGTTGAATGTGTTGGGAAAGAAGAGAAGTCGCAGGCCAATCTGTGGTATTCAAATACCCTCACGAACTAAAGAAAGTGAATAGTTTGGCGGTGAGGTAATTTCAGAATACAGTATGCGCACTGTAACTGTTCCCGTGGGTGGTTAGCTTTCATTCACTTACTTTACAGTGAAATTATAGCGAATGCTTCACCGCCTGGCAAGTTGTAGGTGATGTGAGCATGCTGCCCAAACATGTGATGTATACTTCAGCAGCGGACAAGACACTCCCCCCACGCTCAAACGCACTAATGGGAATTGAAGTGAGTTGTCACCGCCTTCGGTCATTGGGGGGAGAGCCATGATGGGTTGCAATGTCATTTCTGTCACGTACCTAAGAGTCCGGATCCTACAAAAGTAGGGAATTTCCTGGATGTAGAAGAGGATGATTGGATGTTCGTATGCTTGTGAGATTGATCGCTGCCTGATGTCAACCACTGTTTTCACTGGGTTTGCCCAGCAAGAACTGCGGGGGATGAGTCAAAGATACACCGTGTGTTTGTATGGAGTTGGAGTATTGTATTTCCAGCAGCAGCCTGCGGCAGCGGTCAAAAGACCAGAATATGAATATTTCTGTTTGATGAGCGGTGTATCTAGCGGTGCGCATGTGGGCGTTGAGAGCGACGCGGGTGATGAGAGCGGTGGCCTTACGACCGGCGCAGTCAGTAAGGAGATCGGCGTTGATGATGACTAGCGAAACTGAATGAGAGTCAATGAGATCTTCTGGAGTATCCAAAAGACTCAGATTTTGAGGTTTGTCGATTATGTCTTGACGACTGGCAAACAGGAGGCGTGAATGAGACTGAAGGCGAGTATCAAGTGGTAAGAAAAAGCGATGTCGTCACTACAGAGCGTGCGGTCTGTAAGAGCAGGCAACGAAATTGGTGGTCTGAGTGCTGTAGAATACACCGGAAATACGCCAATTTGCAAATTTTCAATCTGCGTTCACCTCACTGCCTCTCACTGCTCACCTTTCACCTTGCATGACGAGTCAGGAGAATGGAAAAAGAACGGCAGGTAGCGACCAGCGCTATAGACTAAGATAACCAATAGAGTGAGACTGGTGAGTATTGACAGGAACTAGAACGTGTTTTGACAGTGGATAGTGAGGAACTGAAGGAAAAAATGGCAGAGAAGCGATAGGATGCATTGTTATGTGTCACCGAGAGCATGGATATGGTGAGTGGGTGAACAGACAGTGCAGCCGCAACCGGGTGAGTGCCTGAGCTGAAACAAGAAGCGACTTTGCATCATGTGTCCTTGGCGATGGCTACTTCGTGAATCTATTATGAAATATGAATGCCTTCTAAGGCACTTGGGTGTGCCCAAGAGGGGTGGATGTTGGGATTTCCGCTGAGCTATCTCGAAGTTTTGAAGCAGAATTGCGAGAAGATAGGGAGACCACTTATCATCGACGAGGCTCAGAATGTGCTTGGGAAAGCTGGCGATTTTTTCTCTTTCACGCATCATACTGAGGATGGAGGCGTGGTGCCTGATACTCTAACTTTGAGCAAGACGATGGGGAACGGTCTGCCACTCAGTTATGTCCTGACGTCGAACAAGATCGCCAGGCATGCTGAAGAGAATGGTTTTCTACTCTACAATACGCATATCAACTATCCGTGTCCTGCAGCTGTCAACGATAACGTGTTTGGAAAAGTGTTTAGAGAGGATCTCTGTGTTCGGTGCAAGCGGCTCGGTGTCAAACTTCCAGCCGGACTCAAAAAGTTCCAATCTCGCTACGGGTGTATTGGAGATAATCTTGATCGCGGTCTCACAACTGGTGTGGAGATTGTGAGTGATGGGAATACGAAGGCTGGTGTAAAAAGTATACACTATTGTAAGATTGCTCGTAGAGCTCTCAGCGAGATGCTACCCACCTACTATTTGCACTAAGCTATATTGGGAAAGCACCACCACACTAGCGGTGCCTCCAGTAACACTGAAGGCTGCACCTTCTTACGGTTGGGACTCCTGATTTCGGAGCTGCTGTGTAGCAAAAGATGGAGAAAATGGGTTTGTGGGCGCAGTTGGCGACAATGGCGTCGCTTGGTGGTGTTTTCAGAATTGCACACCCGATTACTGTTATGGAAGAGGAGTTGCATGTTGCATTGGGAATCATTGAGGAGGCGCTGAGGATGACTCCTGGTACGATGCCGTTGTATGTAATAGATGAGGCAGCGATAGATGGCCAGCCTATTGTGAAGTCAAACATCTAAATTTGGTACTGCGGAGTTTCATATTGCGAGTATTGAAGTTTGTTTATTTTTATCATTAGAAGGACACCGGAGAGAATGCTCGTAGTAGACGTCATCATGCGTCAAGACCATCACAATTCACTTAGAGGCAAAAATGAAAAGACGCGTTGTGAGTAATGCCAAGATTTTGACATTGTTAAGCTATAGACAAATCGGGTTGACAAAGATAGTATATACAGAAAAGAATCCACCAGCTCAGCTAGCACAGCACGTAACCAAAAACCACGCCTGTCATCTTCCAGTCGTTCAGAGAGCCATCAGGGCCATTCGTTTAATCTTCGTGGTGAAGAATTTATGGGCAGTTGACGGTGATCTGGGCGTTACCAGTGGAGAAGTAACCCTCGGTGGCAACAATCTGGTAGTAGTGCTGGCCAAGGTTCATGCCCTTGCTGGCCCAGGCGTCAAAGTGAGTCTTCATATTGACGGAGCCGGAAGAGCGCTTGTTCTGACGAACAGACCAATACTGCTGAAAGGTCCTGGTGCCATCGATGGAGGGCTGGTTGGTACGGGTCGACTGAGCGATCTTGTAGGAAGATCCATCAGAGGTGACGGTACCCTTGTTCTGGGACTGGGAAGAGGGGTCGTAGGTGCCGAAGTTCTCAACGACGTAGTACTCGACAAGGGGGTTGCGGGTCCAGCCGTAGACGGCAAGGTAGGAGTTGCCGTTGTAGTTGTAAGTACCAGAGTAGGTGATGGTACTGTATCAATGTTAGTGTATGTAGTCTATCAGAGTTGAGTAAGACAGTCCATACCGGGCAGTTCCTGGGTTCCATCCCTTTCCACCGACGAGGTTGCCACCGCTTCCCCAGCTTACGCTGTAGCTACCACCGGCACCGTTGGTGTAGGTAGCGCGGGCACCGCCATCAGACCACCAAGACCAGAAGCAGCCGTTGTGGGTACCCTCGCCGTTGGGGGTGTTCTGACGGGCAACGAGAGACACATCAGTGGCGGGGGCGGCAAGAGCGCCGGTAGCCGCAACAGCAGCAGTGATGATGGAGGTGAAAGAAACCATTTTGATGGTGTTGTTGTTGAGTGAATGAAGCGAAGGGAAGTGGTAGTTGTGGTGATGGTTGGTGAGGAAAGTGTGCCATGGAGCCGACTCAGGATAGCTTTATACTCGCCCTCGCATGGCATGTGAGTGGAAACAAGACCGGATGTTGTGCACAGCCAAGCCAAACATCCTCGTCATGATAGCGGTATTCCATCTGCTAGAGTAATATTAGCTAGGGTGTAGATCGAGAAGCAGGCAGGGCGGAAAGTAGGCAGTAATCTGTTTGACTTGGCGCTTTCGTAAAGAAAGCGCTCTGGAGGAGCTGGCTTGAGCCAATGGGAGGGGAGACGTGACCAAAAGTTTTGTATTTTGAGAAAAAAGGGCAATGATGGTTGGCTCTAGAGATGAAACGGTATGGGTGGGGCAAGGCTGTGAAGTCATTTACTTAGAGGCTGCAATCTGCTCCGTCCGGACATGTGGCTCCCAAAAGGAATCGCGCTACAGCAGCGGCGGAGACGAGCCTCTCCACTCTCCACTCAAGCCTCCCACTGTTCCGCATGCATATGCCAAGCTTTCCACTTTTAATCTTTGCCCACGGTTAAACAATCGCTTGGCAGGAGTCGCGAATCCAACAGCCGTAAGCTTGTTTAATCAAACTGAAGCTGTGGAACACGTGTGGCGCTTGGGCGTGGCGAAGATGGTGCGTAGAGCTGACCAGTCGTTCCTGGCCCCGGGTCTATTATTGACTATGGCATACAGGTTGAAAGGGCGCTGTGTAACGGGTGTACCTTGGTGCCCAGACGGTGGAAGGCGTAGTTGGTGATGAGAAGGGGCGAAGATCTGCGGCGAAGGCGTCCAACTCCCCGATGAAACCCGCAAATTTGCCGGACCCACGTGTCATGCGCTCTGACTTCTCCTCGTGCAAACGCATCTGTTCTAGACCAAGACCAGAAGGCCAGCAAAGGAAACATCAATCCTTCGGAAAAAAAGAAAACATTCTGGATGACGGGATACTCCACCGTTGACCATGGGGAGGTCTCCACGCCGCGCCGAGCCAGGCGGGGGCCCGGGTTTCATCAACAGTGCCGCCAGAACCAGGCAATCGTCACGCAACAGCCGCACATCCGAGAAATGCCTGTATCCTTAACCAGACCCAGAGGCAATATAGCCAGGGTGCGTGTAAATGATTTTCTTTGTTGTTGTGCGCTGGCGCATCAAAGCCATGACAAACATACGCATATCAGGTCATGCGCACAGCCGCTACATTTGCTTCTGCCGGCTCGACAAGCTACACTAGCCTTATAGGCATGCCGCTTGCCGACATAATACGGAGAATTATATACTTACGCATACGCCTCCATCGTACTAGTGATCTGGGGAACTTTAGCCCCACGAATCACCATTTAACCACAGTTATTATGCAAACCAACTTTACAAATCGCCTCTACTAGCCTTTTACTAGCACAATAGGCGCCTGCACCCCGGATTTGAGGGGTACATATGCATGGAATTACCTCCTCGGGTGCCGAGTGTCTTGGTACTGCACAAGATGTCTTGTCCAGGCTTGTCCCGGTGGAAGAAGTGGTGTTGTGTGGAGCTTGATTCAACCGTTGTTTTATGAAGGCTAAGGCCGTGTACGAAGGACTGTGCGGTGAATGAAACATCAACTTTGAAGGGCTCAAAATAAGCTCAGAATATACGCAGAGCTGATATTGCCTAGTATCGAGGTTGCGCCGTACGCCTAAAGGCCCCTTTACGATGCAGCAGGCAATATCAAGTTTTTTACATGTCGCTGTCGTAATCAGCCGGTTGGGTTGGGCCAGCAAGCAGCCGTACAGCTCTGCGTAATGTGCGTTGGAAGTATCGGTGACGAGTTTGGTTTTGCGAAAATTTCACCGAGTACTGTATGTGTCTGGTCGGTTTTGTGCAACTACTTCAAAGATCTGAGAGGTTGAGAAACGTCAGCTCTGTCTGTTTCCAAAGTATCTTGATATCAACTCCATTTCTACCATGGAATCCTCAACAGTATCAAACGCCTGTCAAGAATCTGCAGAGAGACGAAACATAGCAGTAACAACGAGAGGAACCTTCGTAACGAGAGCACAAGATGGTGTCTTTGGAACCAAGACATGTTGCTCACCGACGACAGTGTTTAAACACATGTCTAAACACTGTCTCACCACAACCTCACGATATATAACCACACTCTCCAGATACATTGTGAGAAAACTTCACAGCACAAAGATTATATACACAGAATAGAACCTATACACACAGAACACCTTCACAATGCGATCCTCACGACCATATATACGATTATCTCCAACCGCGATCTTAGAATCCTCCAAAAGACCACCAACAACACAACCGACAAGTAAACACACACACATATATCCAACGATCTAACCACCAGACTCATATCCACCACGCAAAGCACAGAACCTCTTGACCATCAAGATGTGTCAATACAACTTTGTTCATTTCACTGGCTGCGATCACACTGTGCTGGATAGGGAGGTACCCATCCAGCGTTGCAAGTCCAAGCAGCGAACATTGTGGCAGAAAGCATGTGACTCGGCGGAGTCAGTGATCATCTCACGGTTTGAGCTATGCGAGGAATGTGTCGACAAGTTGGAGGGGAAGCTCATGAAGCTGGAGAAGCTCCGGAACAAGGAGCTGCGCGCGGAGCAGAAGGCGAAGAAGAAGCAGGAGTAAGCTGGAACGGGGATAAGCTACGCTAGACTTTGCGAGCTTAGATAGGGGAGACAGGTAAGTTTGATGGGGCTAGCTTGGGGGTATGGGATTTGGAGTTCAGGAATACAGACTGTTTTGGATTTTTTTTTCTTTATTAGACATAGGAAGGGGTGTCATCAGAACAACCAGGCCAGGAGTTCTGCACTGCTTATTGATTCACACATAGAGTAGACTCAGAGATAGACATAGACCCCCACCACTCAAGGTGAAGAAATAAAAATAATCATTGATACAAAGCGAGGGTATATAGCATTGCATGCTGTGATGCTTTCCAGTGATGAAAAAGAAGAAGAGAAACAGAAAAAAAAAGGAAAAATGTAGTATCCAAACTCCACGCTAACAATAGGTCATGATTCCAGTCATAAACATCATGAGTCCATACTTCTCCTTCACCTTACCAAATGAAAAAGAAAAGAACCCGAAAGAGAGAAAAAAGGCGGGTTTCCCGTTCTAAAAACCTTTCAACGCGCATGAACTAATGCACAGAAATCTTTCTTGCTCTAGCAGCCTGTAAAAAGGCACCATAACTCCAAGTCAAATGCTGAGCACCACGCATGTATCCAGTCACACGATCAAACTGCTCACTCATGCTGCCCTCGGCATCCACATGCGTCTTAACGACTTGCAGAAACTCGTCGCCGGTGCTCTGAATGCGCTCGATGATGGAGTGGAAGAGGGCGTCTGTGGGGCCAAACGTGCCTACGTCGACATCTAGAGAGGAGCTACCGAGGAGAGACTCGTAAAAGGGAAGACCAACATCAGTAATAGTCAAGTTGCCGGTGGCAGAAATGTGCGAGGCGGTGCGGTACAGAATCTCTGCGGCTGAAGAGGTGCACAGGAACCATGGGTTTCCACCACGGTTCGAGTTTCCATAGCCGTCGTATACATCTTCGGGATAGCGGCCAAGGCCCGTTCCCTCGAATGTGAACTCATCTACATTGTCATCATCGTCATCCTGGTCAGAAGGATTGCTGTTGATGGGGAACCGGTCGCGCTGATCCCGAGTCAAAGCAAGCAGAGAAACAAGAATCTCATCGGACCACGGAGGATACACGACATCATCTTCCGATCCGCTCTTGGGAAGGGCGTGCAAAGAGCCGAGAAGCAGTCCGCAGTCGAGGCCACTCCTCTTGCTCCATAGCGTCTCAACAAGATGTCCTTTTTGCGCATTCCAGAATTTGCCCAACAGATTCTCAATGTAGCCAGCTTGCTTTTGGTACCAGTCAGCCGCACCAAAGTCTCCAAAGGTTCTGGCAAGGTGACTGCCTTCCTTCAGACTCCTCGCGCTGACCATGAGGGTGAAGAAGTGCAGGCCCTCAACCTCCTCCCAGAGATCGAATCCCGACTGGTTCCAGAAATGGCTGACATACTCGAGATCTGCTTTGATAATGCTACGAGGAGGCATTTCAGCGGTGTAGAATGAGCCGAAAAAGTCTTCGGAGTCGGGGGAGCTCCATAGTGAGGGATGCGATGCGTTGTACTCGCGGAGGTAATGCATGAGCGTCAGTGCGCGAAGGGCCGGCCCATCGCGCTGAGGTCGTCCCCACGAGCCGGTGAACGGCTTGCCATCGACTTGGAACTTGGGCTCACCTAGTCCGGAAAGGTCGTCGAATGTGCCAGACGGGTTTGAGGTGCGCTGAATGTCACCTTGGAGGGAGGTGTATGCGTCTAGGATGGTGGATAGAGAAGCCGCGCGCGAGGACGAAGTGTCGTCGGCATAGATGTTGACGAGGGTATCCATGGTGATAGCAGCGTCACGGACCCCTGTGACGAGGTTAGTACCAAATGATTGCGGGATGACGTCTTAGAGATACTCACATTGGAACCAGTAGTCCGGACCGTCTTGACTGGGACTGGCGATGACGGTGCCCTCGGCCACACCTTTCCCTTGAACATTGCTACCTCCAGGCGCAACGTTGGCGAGCAGTTTGTCCAGTGCAATGTGCTCTTCATGCTTTATCCAGGCATCAAGTGTGTCTTGAAGCGGTTGCTGTTGCTGCACACGGCTGGAAGCAGCAAAAGTGGCTAGGGAGGGAAGACGAGGTATCGATAATGTGTAGGCATGGTGGACAAAGCCTGTGAGGAGGAGCACGCGAGGAAGCATGATGAGCGCCGGGGAATGTCGACCAGGGTGTGGATGGCTGGATGGCTGGCTTGAGACAAAAAAGAAGCTTAGGTCTGCTGGCAGCTCATATGTGAGCCTTCAGAGTCGAAGATGACGAGGAAGAGAAGCGCGATGTCATAAAGACTAGGCGGTAGCACGCGAAGTTGGGCATAAAGAGAGCCGTCGAAGCCCGTAGGCCATAGACGCCTTCCGTGCGCGCGCCATGCCCCGGACCGGCGACTATGACCGTGTGGATGATGACTGTGGGCCCTCGTGCCAGTGTTAGTGGGCGGCGTGGACGAGTAGGAGGCGGTGGACGAGGTCGCGCGGACAGTTGCTCGTCCCGATCCAGCTGGCGGATGATGGTGAAAGGACCACGCGAGTCACGGCTAGCAACGTCACGCGACCCGCCCTCGTGGATCTGGGGTAGGCGGTAGGCGGTAGGCAATGCAAGGCACTCAGAGGCTCGGCCTACGACACTCCAGGGTCATGACAGCGCACCACAAAGGATTTTGCCCATGGGCCGAGGCACCGAGAAATGGCGCTTTCTTTTGCACCTGAAAGAAGGAATGTACATAGCAGATAGCCTGGTTGCTACCAAAAAAGCCCCATAGCTCGTCCCCGGAATGTACACGCCAAGATGGCTCCCCCATGTCTGGCCCCGAGCGGCTCTCGGGAATCAGGATGCAGGGCGTTTTGGCCGAAGGTACTAGCAGCAGACATATCCCACGAGTAGTACATGTACCTGATACATACATACATGTGATAATATGCGACATGGCATATGTGCCGAAGGCTAGAACCTTCCCGGCATGCTCCGAGGTCCGGGTGGGTGAGGACTGCAAGGCGTGAGGGGTACATGGTGTCGGCTACTTGCATGTAACCGCCGCCCAATGACCATCGGCTATTCCCAATACATGCCGCAAAGTCAACATCATGGACGTATGCACGCATACACATCCATCTCAGACTGGCTGAGAAACACCAAAACAGTCGACTCTGAAACTGTCCCTTGGCCATTGGCCCTGCATACGATGACTGTTTGATCCGGTGAGTTTCCACATCTCACCTTGTCTAATCAGCCAGCCAATCATTCCATGCCGCGTACTTGAAGACGCACGTTTGTCATTCACCTCCATTCAACATGCCATTGCACAAAACGCACTCCCTGCGCAGTAACCTGCGTATGCTGCACAGCTCCGGGTACCGGATATGCCAAGCCTCCTTTTCCACGACAGCTAGACGCACCAACTACGACGCTACAATCCAGAACCTCAAGATTGGCTCTCACACCCGCGTCATCTTCCAGGGATTCACCGGGAAACAGGCTACAGCCAATGCAAAAGAGTCGATAGAATGGGGGACAAATGTAGTCGGCGGCGTCAAGCCCAATGGCTCGGGAGAGCATCTGGGACTGCCTGTTCTGCCCTCTGTGAGAGCAGCAATGGAGCAGCTGAAGCCTGATGCAACTGGAATCTATGTTGCAGCCCACCAGGCTACTGCTGCAATTGAGGAAGCAATCGAAGCAGAGGTGCCGCTTATCGTCGCAGTGGCTGAGCACATACCATTGCATGATATTATGAGAGTGAGTCAACAGGCTCTGAACAACATATCAGAGACACCGAGCTGACGCGGCAGTAAGATCCATTCCATGCTGCAATCCCAGTCAAAGTCACGGCTTGTAGGTGCCAATGCCCCGGGAATCATCTCAGCTGTTGGGAAGTGTAGGATTGGCTTCCAGCCACTACCGACATTTTCACCTGGTCACATTGGTGTTGTGGCAAAATCCGGCACTCTCTCTTATGAGACTGTGGCATCCCTGACAAGAGCCGGGCTCGGACAGAGTTTATGCATTGCAGTCGGCGGAGATGCGATTGCAGGCACAAACTTTGTGGATGCTCTCAAGGTCTTTGAGCATGATGATGACACCGAGGCTATCATTATTGTAGGTGAACTCGGTGGTACAACCGAAGAAGAGGCGGCGGATTGGATCATAGATTACAGAAAGCGCGTAAAAAATCCCAAACCCATTGCTGCTGTCATTGGAGGTTTTCAGGCACCACATGGCAAGGTCATGGGCCATGCTGGGGCTTGGGTTGGCCTTGGAGAAGGCACCGCAGAGGCAAAATACAAGGCACTGGAGAGTGCTGGAGTGACCATGGTTGATCATCCTGCGAAGTTTGGCGGGGTGATGAAAAGCATTCTTGCAAAGTCCGGTCGTAATGTTGGGAAGATTGTAGGTTCACAATTGTCAAAGCACCCTCCATTATATTCTGACTTGTTACAGGAACAATCAGCAGCCCAGCAACGCCGCTCATATCATACATCTCCAAAGCGGCCTATCACAAACTTCTCCAAAACCGATGCTTCATTTACACAAAAGCGCTCCCTCCACCTCTCGAAAGAACAGTCCACAGCCCTCCTCAAATCCTTCAATATCAACCTCACCATACCCCCAGAAGGCTCCCCATCAACCCACTACCTAGGCGTTTCTCCCGACCGCTCTAATCGCTCCCCCTCCATCATCGCCGCCCCAACAGCCAACCCCTCCAAACTCACCCACCGCATCCGTCGTTTCCCTTTCGACTACCGCACCGGGCCCACTCCATCTGCCATTGCCGCCGCAACAGCCCACATGCAACTCTCAGCCTTGCCACCAAAATCCAAATCCCAACTCGTCCAAGCCATCCACAACCTCTGGAACCTCTACACCTCCAAAGAAGCCATAGACGCCCACATCAAACTCGCCCTATCCGTTGACTCCGACGACCTCCTCTTCTACGACCCCTACCTCTTCTTCGACGACGCAGCCTTCAAATCCGGAAAACGCCACTCCGACCTCCACGCTCTGCGCGATCAGACTGCAATACGCGCTGCAGACCGCGAGGCAGAAGAAGCAGGAATCGTCTACATTCCTCTTGATTCTCCCACAGCTAGTTCCGAGTCCAGTCCTAAACATCTAGTCGGCACCCTAGTCAACGGCGCTGGCCTCGCCCTCAACGTCCTCGATACCCTCGCCCTGCGCCTCTTACCCACCACGTCCGCTGCCAACTTCCTCGATACAGGCGGCAAAGCTACATCTGCAACTATTAAAACAAGTTTCAAGCTTCTCCTGTCCGATCCGCGCGTCAGCGTCATCTTCGTGAATATTTTCGGGGGTCTCACGCTCTGCGATATGATTGCAGAGGGCATCATACTCGCGTTTCGGGATGTGGGCGTCGAGAAACCGGTCGTGGTGCGGTTGAGGGGCACGAATGAGGAGAAAGGACAAAAAGTGCTCGAGGAGGCCAAACTGCCGATTTATGTTTTTGATGATTATGAGCAGGCGGTGCAGAAGGTGGGGGAGTTGATTGGTAAGGCTGTGAATGTATAGAGAAAGAAAAGAGAGAAGGGAAGATGAGATTAAAATGATTAGATTCGTCGCAGTCACACACACACGCGCACACACTCTCTCTTACGTCCCGTTTTCCCTATCAGTCCCATTGCGAATAAAACATTGTGCCGCTGCGTACAGAGATCTCCCCTCCCCTTCCGCACCCCACCCCCGCCATGGCCCTGTTTCTACGCAAAAAAGCAGGGGGACGACGACATAACGTAACAAATAAAAACATCAAATTCACAAAAATCCTCTCGCATACGCCATGGAAGCTCAGAAAAAAAAAGTGTGTGGTACATCGGAGTATGAAAAATATAAGAGGTATCTCCAAGGCCGGAAGAAGGTGGGGGAAGAAGAGGGAGGAAGGAGGGGGGGGACATTCCAAACGATGGATCGAAAAAACCAAAGTAACCCAAAACATATCGCAGGAATTCGTTTGACAGTAAGATAAAAAAAAAGAAGATGACCGGAGGGAATATAACAATGACACTATACAAAGTATTGGAATGCGGTTCTGTCAAAAAAAGTTAGTTATGTGCGCTCTAATGGTTGGTTCCAAGGATGGACAAAAAAACTTACCCAATCGCTGCCATGACTCCCAGACCAACAAGTGCCCTCCGTGTCACTTTTTCCTTTGTCATCTTTTGCTCCGTCGTGTACGCCTTTTTGGCGAGCTTGTTGAGGCGCTCATCGGCCAAATCTTCCTCGTCCAACACCTCTTCGATTCCGCGCTTCGACGACCGCGTGACCGATGGCGAGCCGCCTTCAAGTTTCTGTGCTTCTGCAACCATGCGCTTGGCCTCCTCGATCATGGCTGTTGGGTCTTCAGGCTCGGGGAGTGCGGCGTGGTCGTGTGGCACGTCGACTGTGACGCTGGTGCTGGTCTTTTCTGTGTCGCCATTTGTCTCAACGGTTTGCTTCACTTCAATGTGAACTGTGCCCTCCTGGACCTCGAGCTCTGGCTCTGGCTTCTTTGCAGCATCCAGCGCCTCCTCGACTTCTTGCTCCACCTCCTTCACCTCGCCCTCGATCGATGACGCAATCGACTCGGCAGGCGCTACGCGCCTGGCAATGCTGTTTTGGAGCGCAGTTGACGGGGTGACGGCCTCAATAGGCTTGAACATGTCATCTGCGGGGGTGGCCTCTGGCTTCATAGCACTTCTTGTCGACCGGCCCTTTCGCGGGGTCGCATACTTGCGGCCTGGGGTCATGGCCTTGCTGGGTGAGACTGATCGGGCCGAGCGCGCGCGAGTTTGACGGAAGCCAAATGTAGGAAGAGTAGCGGGCTGGGCGTTTGCAACATCGAATTTGGGGGGCATTTGGATGGGGATGTTTGATTTATCCTTGCCGCCCTTTTCGATGGGCGCGGGGTCGAGGAGCGCCTCTATCCAGTGGCGCATCGAGTACTCCTCGGACAAGGCCAGAGCTAAGCGAACCGTGTCAGATGTCCATCATTTGCAGATTGAGAGATTTTTTATATTCAAAGAAAAAAACTTACCCTCCTCTGGCGCAATCCAAACGCTTCCAGCTACCTCCTCGTCGCCGGCTGATGGGAATGTCTTCTGGTACTTGCGTTCAAGATCCTCTTCCTGGAGCGAAGCCCAGGGGAACGCAGCCTTGAACATTCCCGTCGCACTGATGTAGCCGTCGCTGCTGCGTCGCTGTTTGTCGCGTTAGTCGTCGACTGCGCTCAGGGCAATGCGCTTGCTGATTGTTTTGCATGGCGTACCATCAAGAAATATGACTCTGGGAAAGCGGACATGCGGTTTCGCGAAAAGATGCCAGATCCCGTAAGGTCCTTTGGCAGCGGAACCCTCAGGTGCGCGTAGTCGAAAGTGCCCATGTTTTCGAGCTTTGTCGCGTTGGTAATACCTGAGACGCCAGCCTTGACACCCAAGTTTGTTTGCCCGAGGCGACGTCGTTCAATGAGAATCTCGACTGGGCGATCTTGTCAGTCGCGTTGCTAGATGGAGGAGATGGGAAGCGACGCGATGCGCGACGTGTACGTACTAGCCGTCGAGTCGGTGGGCTCAAGGAGCGGGTTCTTCCTTTCGGGGAGGACGCGATCAACAACCATTTTGGCGACGTCTGAGGGGTTGTCGTGGAAGAGGATATTACAATGGATGTATGAGAGGTGCTGCGCGCAGCGCGTGGGGTATCGCGAAAAGACTGCGAGGAAATAAGAGTGCGTGTTGCGCGTGCGATCGACGTGATGATGAAAGGGTGCGTGGTTGCGACAGAGGCGAACAGACAGACAGGCAGGAGCGATGGGGGTGCTATCCCTGTGCACTAGCGCCGCCCACGCCCAGTCCAGCCGCCCCCAGGGCATTGTCGTCGCGCTCATCAATCAGCCTTTGGCAGCGGCCTTATTATTACGTCCTTTTAGAATGCTTCTTCTAGAGCATTACTACATTAGTGCTGCTGCCGATTGGCCCTCGAGCCATTTCTTCTGCCCATTGCAGGCCCGATGGAGCGTCGTGCAGATTGCAGGCGCTGCTTTGAGAAGAGGGCCACTAGATCACGCGTTTGTCCTGTCGTGACGCGCTATGTACATATCCATACACAAACACACAAACATGCCTACGGACAATGAACGTACACTATCAAGCTCCCTTTGTCTGCCCCAGGCCGCCAACACTTGCGCCATCCACCAGCAGCCTGACATACACGTCCAAACATGACGGCGCCTCGCACGGTATCAGATCTGCCACCCTAGCTCTCCAGATATACGACAGCATCTAAGTACCTAGCTATGTACTTGCACATACTTGTTAATGCATCTGGCCAGCCACCCATGGACCTGGCAATGTCAGCATTCAACAGGCCACTGCTCTGTCCCAGCATCAGCCCGGTATCGCTCGGCAAAGCTGAAGCAAAGAGCAACAATGCGAAGCAGCCATGAACATAAGCAGTCATCTGAAGCGAGCGATCCCCATGACCTGCAGGGCATAATCCCCATCGCATCCAGACAATATCTCCGAATCTGTAGCCAGAGACTGTCTGCGACCAACTGCGCTAAACACGTCACCCTGGCGTCAACGTGCCAGAGGCAATTGGGAGCGTCTCGATAGCAGCAGCGGCCTGAAGGCCTGGTGTTGCTTTTTCTCGTCTGTGTGAACGCGCGGGGTCATGGCCCTGCACCGCTGTGAGACGTCTTCGTCCTCAGCACACTCGTCGCCTCTTCTATCGCTGGCCCCCTAGAGGACTGTGCATGATGCACTCGTGTCGCAGCACGAGTCTGGATGGCATGCGACGTATCAAAGGGATCCACCGCCCACCCAGCGACGCGGCAGGCCCCGCCAGGAACCAGGCGCCTTAGCCGCTTTGAGCTGCTGGAGCGGTGAAAGTGCCCCGCTAACTTCGAGGCTCAACATGAGGCCGCGCCTACTTGGGCCCCTCACTCCTCCAATTGACCCTGAACTTCTCCACAACATTCTCTCGCCGCCTGTTGCCAGCCACACACAACCACCCATCCCTCTCCATCCAACCACACACCCGCCATGGCCGACCACGCAGACGACCTCCACGCCGAGCAGACCGAAGGCTTCAAGGTCGGAGAGAAGAAGACAATCGACGAGTACCAGAAGCTGGGTACGTGGCACCCCCCATCGCGCCGCTAGCCCATACAAACAGCTTGACAACACCTGCTGACCTTCGACCGCCACAGACCAGAATGACGAGTCTCTGCAAAAGTGGAAGGCGTCCCTTGGGCTTGGCCAGGGCAAGGACATCTCCGACCCCAACGACCCCCGCAAGTGTATCATTCTATCCCTTGGTCTCGAGGTAGAGGGCCGCGACGACATCATCATCGACCTGCGTGCTCCTGGTGCGCTCGAGGAGCTCGAGAAGAAGCCCTTCACCATCAAGGAGGGTGCGAGTTTCCGCATGAAGGCACAGTTCAAGGTCCAGCACGAGATTCTGGCAGGTCTCAAGTACCTCCAGAAGGTGAACCGCATGGGTGTTAGCGCCAAGCTGCAGGAGATGATGGTACCTATCCTCACCAGGCTCGTGCATCTATACATACGCTGACCGTCACAACAGGGCTCATACGGCCCCAACACTGAGGAGAAGCCGTTTTACGAGAAGAAGTGTACGTGTCCCATTTCGACAAACACTACCACATCACACTGCTAACTCTTCCTTCAGTCGAGCCCGAAACCGCTCCCTCTGGCATGCTTGGTCGCGGCCACTACACAGCCCTTTCCAAGTTCGTCGACGACGACAACCAGGTCCACCTGCAGTTCAAGTGGTCTTTCGACATCAAGAAGGACTGGTGATAGGCAATCGGCCAAATCCGCATGTTGGAAAAGGGTTGTATTGTCGCACGGCGCAATACGGCAGTCTCTTTTAGTTGGAAGCGGTGGATATCCAGAGTGCTTGAACTCCCACGAAGTAACGAAGCGACGGCTGAAGGTCGACCGTTTGGACGGAGACACCAATCCGACCAGATATCGATCCTATAGCTTTGAAAGAATCAAAATTTTCAGGACCTTTTACGTCTCGTTCCGTCCTTGGCTCGAATGTGCTTGATATTTCTCGACCTGGTCGAAGTGAAACCATCTTCCTGCAATCCTCTTCGCCTTGACGGTCCGACCCGCCCATGCTCGCCCACTGCTTCCAGAACCAAATCTCCGTGCTGAAACATTGAGAATGGATATTTCTTGCTCCCATGGATCTCCCATGATAGCTTCGCGTCGGGTCTCGTGCTCAGTATCCATTTCAACATCCTCTTCGGCAGGGGCCGCAGAAGTACCATAGCTTCCTTCACACTCGACTATATGGAGTTGAACGCCAGTATTCAGTGCAGCGTCAGCTGCTGTAGCAAAGCATCGTGACAAGCCCTGGGCGGAGAAAGATGGCGTTGGTGCGTGCAGCGCGAGCGGATTTACCAACACGACCCTTTCCTTTGGTTTGGTCTCAGCTATAGACTCAGCCGCAGTATGGCCATATGCAGTCAAGTAGGCGAGCAGTGCTTGTACAGATGGGCAGAAAGCAAGTCTGACGTGTCGGCTCGTGAACAAGTTGTGGAGCGAAGGCGCAAGCAGTCGCTCTAGCTCTTCTGTGGCTGGCTCGCTGCGACTCTGTTGCAATGAAGTAGCAAGGTACTCCAAGAAAGATTCCTGACTGGAGCAGATAATCAACAAGGTCGGGCTTGTGCTGGACTGGGTAGTCAGGACATAGCGGAGGAACTCAAGCAGTGTTAGCGGGTGGAGCACCGTCGGCGTCGGCGACATGGCAGATTGAGTGTCGAATAAGTTCCGGCTGCCATGTGCACGTTAGATCGTGATGTCGATGTCTGCTGCTGCTGCTGCTGTTGTTGTGTGGCGCCGAGTGTTCTAGGTGTACGTATTACCAGGCAGGTCACCAAAAGCCATGGACGGTCAGCACGGGCTGCAAGTGCCAATCGGCGGCTGTACCCGCTCCCCGATTCACACCCCCACCACCGTTGTTGTCCATGGCTCCAACTGCCGCAGCGCATGCACGCTGCCACGGATCATCACAACCTCGACGCCCAGAGCCTTTGCTGCCCATACCTTACCTGACTCTGCATAGCCGGCCTCCCGTCTGTCGGCAAAGACAAATCGAGTCGTAGGCTCCCGGAAGCAACGTACTTTCCCCCGGGCCTAAGTCGCTGTCATGGAGTCCATCAGTCGCATATCGAGCTTGTTGGAGACAGGTATGGCGCCTTTCTCAATTTTCTCCTCTTACATATCCATCGCATCTTTTGTGCCTTTGCGATTTATACTCGACGGGTCTTGAACATGTAATCGCCTCGCTCGTTCACTATGCATCCATCCAGCTTTGCTCACTGGTCTCTTTCTACAGCCCGCGACCTTACCCTCGAAGCCGCCCGCGATGCCAGCAATGTCCGCCGAGCACCCACAAGAGAGCTGCCCTCGAGCCAGCTCAAGAAGCTTCTCGACAGCCGATCCGAGCGCGATGTCTTGGAGGGGCTCCGGAGAGTAATCACTGTATGCCAACCCTACCATGAATTCGGGCCATCTCAGCAGACATGGCACGCGTTGGGACGTGTAGTAACTGACTACAGTCCCTCTAGATGTCTTATCGACAACCCCCTGCGCAAACACTGCCTTTCTTCTCCCACGTAATCAAGAACGTCGCCTCGCCCTCGCTTCAGGTCAAGAAGCTCGTTTACATATATCTCCTCCAGCATGCCGAGCATGAGCCGGATACCGCTCTCCTTTCAATCAATACCATTCAAAAGTCGCTTACGGATACGAATCCTCAATTGCGCGCATTGGCGTTACGAGTCATGTCGAGCATACGGGTCCCAGTAATTAGCCAGATTGTGAGTCTGGGAATCAAGCGCGGCACTGGAGATATGTCGCCGTACGTAAGGAGGGCAGCGGCTTTGGCGATACCGAAATGTTACAGACTGGACCCCAACACCGAACCCCAGCTGCTGGAGCACCTGTCGACATTGCTGGGAGATAAACAGTACTTTGTGACTGGAGCTGCTGTAGCATCGTTCCTAGAGCTATGTCCAGATCGCTTAGACCTCATACACCCGCATTACCGCGCCTTGGTACGGAAGCTGGTCGATATGGACGAATGGGGACAGTTGGCTACACTGCGATTAATGATGGTTTATGCACGGAAATGCTTTCCCAGAAGGACGAAAAAAGTCAAGAAGGCGGTTAGCGCTAACACGAACAGCAAACCTTCACAGTCTACAAAAGGGTTCTATGATGATTCTGAGAGTGAATCTGAACAAGACGAGCAAGAGAAGGACATGGAGGAAATCGCTGTACTGGATCCCGATCTCGAATTGCTGCTAAAAGGCTGTCAGTCGTTGCTCCAATCCCGAAACGCTGCTGTGGTGATCGCGGTAGCCCGGACTTACCTGTATCTCGGTACACCCGAGTATCTGACCCAAGCCATCGGGCCGTTGATCTCCCTGCTGCGATCTGCTGCCGACATCCAGCACGTAGCGTTGTATAACATTGTACAGGTCTGCCTGGCACACCCCGAGCCATTTGTAAAGTACTACACACACTTCTTGGTGCGATCAACAGATGCACCGCACATATGGCAGCTGAAGCTCGAGCTACTCACCTTGATATTTCCTCACGCCCATATGAGATTGCAAAGCTTAATACTTGCTGAGCTCAGCCACTTTTCACATTCTGGCAGTTTGGATCCAGCACTAGTCAAAGAGTCTGTACGCGCAATTGGACGCTGCTCGCAAAGTCCTGCGACCAGTCCTCAAACCTCAGCCAGGTGTCTTAAACTATTGCTAAAACATATTGGATCTGCCGATGCCCACTTGGTAGCGGAGTCGCTGGAAGTCATCCGACACTTGATTCAACGAGATCCAAACGCTCATCGCACTACTGTTATCCGGTTAGCAAAGCATTTGGATGCAGCCACCAGTCCTCAAGCTCGCGCTAGCATCATTTGGCTAGTTGGCGAATTCGCCGGCCTGGATCCGGAGAACAACATTGCTGCAGATGTTCTCCGTATTCTTGTCAAAGGCTTTGCAGATGAGGCCGAGCCAGCCAAGCTCCAGATTGTGCTGTTGGCAGCCAAGGTGTATGTGCATCATTTGACAGCCAATCCGCCACCGGAACCTAAAGTGGAGGAGCCCAAACCGAGCTCGTCCCTAATCGACGAATTTCAAGAAGAACAAGGCGGGTTCAGAGATGAGCATCTCGATGCACTCGCCCAGAACAACGAGCCTCAAGAGGAGGAGAAGCCACATATCATTGAGGCACTTTACAACTACGTTCTCTTGTTAGTTAGATACGATACTTCGTACGACCTTCGTGACCGTGCTCGCGTTTACAAAGCACTACTGGCGACACCTACCTCGACACAGTTGGCTTCGCTCCTGCTTTTGGCACCCAAGCCAGTGCCGCACATTCCCAGCCCAAGTGAAACGCGAAAGGGCTATGTACTGGGAAGTGCCAGTCTAGTAGTTGGTGATGAAGGCGGTGTTGGAGGACTCAAAGGATACGAAGACCTGCCGCGCTGGGTCAAGGAAGGAAACGAGCCAGATCCCACGCTCCGCGACGAAGCTGCGACTTCATCTTCTTCAAATTACGTGTCGGCGTATGAAACTGCAAAGAACATGTCGGCAGCTGAGAGGCTGGACGCAGCGGCGGGCAGTAGCGGTAGAATGACTGCAGACAACACGATGAGCCCAAGAGGCTTGAATGGGATTAGTGGAGATGGAGGTTTCGGTGGGGTGCCCAAAGCGCCGCTCAAGGAGAAGACGCTCGACGACTGGCTGGCGGAAGAAGAAGGAGAAGATGATGATGAGGAGGAAACCGAGACAGGAAGTGAAGAAGAGACAGACGAAGAGGAGGAAGAGAGTGAGGAAGAGAGCGAATACGAGACGGACAGTGAAGACGAGGAGACTGATGATGAGCGAGGTAATCTCATCAAGCAGTAGTAGTATATTTTGAAGAAAGAATGAGCAAGACATGATAAGAGTTTTTTTTTTCATGGACATGGTCATGAATTGCACTCTTCTTTGCGTAGATATTCAAACCCGAAGAGAAGAACCAAAAAAAAAGAAGTTGACTAATAAAAGTCACTTCAAAGCCTCGCCATATTTCCCCTCTTGCGCATACTCTTCGTCTTGGTCTCTGCCCCCTGCCCCTCCCCTCCCAACCCCACCCCTTCACCCTCGGAAACAACCGCAGTAGCATCATCCCACAAGCCCTTGGCCACAAGATCCACAAGTCCCAAAACCCTATTCTGCACCGTCGCCCCATCGCGCCGATTCTTGCCCTCACGTCTACTCGCACTAATCCTTTCTGCAAACCGCCACAACGGACCATCCGCAACGATACTCGCGCTACCATCCGTCTTCCGCTGCGGCACCCACTCATCCGCCAGCCGTATGCCCAGTGCATTCTTATTCTTCTTGCTCGCGCCCTCACCATTACGCGGGCGGGCCACAACAATCATGCCTTCGTCTTGAAACCTCGTATAAGCGTTCTTGAGCGTTTCCTTGTTTACGGCTTCAAAGTAGGAGAGGTCGCCTTGGTGGTAGAGGGTTTTGCCGAGGAGTTGGGCGTGGTCTTGAGTTTTCTTTTGGTCGAGCCATTTTGGTGATGGGGGTGATGTTGTTGATGGTGAGGAAGAGGACAGAGGGGGCGTAAGCATCATTAGGCTTATTGCGCCGAGCCAAGCGGCTTCGATAAAGGGCCAGATGAGGAAGCAGTAGAAGTCGTAGTTTTCGCGGCCCTGGGCGCGTTCGGTGGGGGAGAGTTCGATCCATTCGATTTTGGATTCGATAGAAGAAGTGGGGGTTTCAGGGGAGGAGGAAGGTTCTGGGGAGGAGCGGGTTAGGGTTATGACGTCGTCTTTTTCGAGGCCGAGGAGGGTTTTGGAAAGGTTGGTGTCGAGACCTTCGGTTGGGAAGATGAATTCGCCGCGGAAGAGCTGGGAGAGGAAATGGACTTGGGCGCGTAGGTCGGTGTATGACATGCGTTGGTACTCGGGTCCACCGCCTTGCTTGACGTGTGTGTATAGTGCTGCGCTGACGAGACTTTGTAAGATGAACAAATGGATGGTCATGTTACGGTAGAAAGAGAGCTGGAATCGATCGACGGCGTAGAATGTGTCTTCTGGGAGATCAGGAATAAGGCCGACAAGTCCTGTGCCGAGCACTTCAAGAGCGCGGTCGACGACAACACTGGTGGGGAGATTGCCAAAGTGTGCTACGCGACCTCCTTGGGCCCGTACACGGTCACTGAGCCATTCTACGCGTCGGATGAGTTCGGTCTTACCAACACCGCGGCCGCGAAGTGTGAGTAGGACAGTGCCGACCAAAGCCGTAGGCATGACTACTGAGACGTCGTTGATTTCTGACAACACTTTGTACCCCAGAGTGCGAAGGATCCGGAGTCGATCTTCTTTGGTATCGATTTGTTGGGGCAGCTTGGAGAAGCGATCGCGTTGTTGGGTAATGAACGACTTCAGGGACCAAGGTTCGTGGAAACGGACGTCTACACGACCAAGTTTGAGAGAGAGGACGGACGAAGCAGACAGGAAATCCATGAGATTTTCTTTGGGCTTTGGCTGGCCGAGGAGTTCGCTAATATATGAGCTGTTCACTGTTAGCATCCATATTCATCTTGGAGAAATTTCGCAGACGTACTCGACCTCAATCACCTTGTCGTACTGCGTTGAAACTGGGCAAATGATGGCATCCTCTACCCGGCCACTAGCAACACTATCTAGCATGTAACTCAAGATGCCA